GCTATTATGGGCTTTGCAAAATTCAGCCATGCACCCCCAAAATCACTTCCAGCATCAGGCTCATTCTTGTTTTTCTTTTTTATTTCATTATTTTGTGTTATTTGTTTTATAGTTTTAAAAACCATTTTTTAATATTAAATCATAAAATCAATAAAATCACAAAAAATATAGAATTAGGTTTTTTTTATTAAAATTAGTTTTTTAGAAATTAATTAATTTAATGATATTGAATTGATTTGTTTTCGTTAAGTAAAGTTAATTAGAAAAAATTAGGTTTAATTCATAAATATTTAGTTTTCTCAATAAAAAATCAAAAATATTTTTTTTTTATTTAAGTAGATTCTTTAGGATATTTAGTTTATTCTCGCGCGCATTTATTCATTTATTTTTTCTAATTATTGTATTTGTTTCGAGTTTGTAATAGCTTTTAACTTAGGTTTATTACTGCTTTTATTTACTGCTTTTCCCTCAAGTTTGGTTATGTAACCCCCTCCCTTAAGCCTTGTATAGCTAGGTTTAAGATTCTCGCATTTTACTTTTTTGCTACTATTAACTGTTAGATGAATGATCATAGGATTGAATGAAAAGATAAATTGAATGTTTAAAACATTAGAACACCCTTGTGCAAAGATAAACAAACTGAAATAAAACACTTGCACATGCTCACCTCTAGGGTATCTCCCACTTCGGTTACCTCGGAAAAATACGGTCACTATTCTCGAACGTGAGAGTTCTTAGTGTCTGTCCTCTAATTCAGAGATCGCAAGTCCCTTTCGAAGGTTGCCTCAGTAAAACAAAATGCGATCTTAGAACTTTAGGACAGTTACTAAGAGATCTTGCCTTGTTTCCTTAAGTAACCGTAATCGTCCCTTTCGATTGTCCCTTAAACTCCAATGATGGAGCTACCTACTCCGTAATAGTAGGATAGCGTTGTCTAAAGGAAATAAGAAAACGAACCGTCTTTTTTTCTAGTAGGTAGAAACTTTTAAGTACTTGCTCAAAACAATCAATTTTTCACACTTACACTTTCAAACACTTTTCAAACAAAGTTTTCAAAAATGCTTTATCACACTCTTGAGGACTGATACAAGGGTTACCATAAAGTGAAACGCCGCACTAAGGCATTTTCAAAGCTTTTGAAAACACACACAAAACAATTTAAAAATGAGCAAGTACCTAAGAGCCCATGGAAAACCATGGATAAAAAGGGTGTTAACACCTTCCCTTTCTATAATCTACCCCCCCCCCCCCTGTATTCAGAAACATCTCGGAAAAATTTTTTTGTTCTTTTTCCCTTTTCCTTTATTGGATAAAATAAAAGACGGTGGCGACTCTTGCTTACCGTACATTTGCGAACAAAAAATGCAAAAACCAGTAGTAACAAAAAACAGTCAGTTCTGCCACCGTATTACACGTAGGACCTCGGACATAAGTGCATTGGTGTAGATGTTTTTCAATACCACAACATACCTTTTGATTTGGGAATTCACCTTAGTTTCGACAAAACTTCACGGGAGAAGAATCGATGGGTTGTAGGGAGGAGGGACAACATAAGGTGCTTCTTTATCTACCTCTTTGACAACCTCCCTTTCGAGTAGTGTCGATGGATTTGTCTTAAGTCTCCAATGCCATGTTGTGAGTCGCGAGGGACTCGACCATAGATTAATGTGTGTCCAAGTGTGCATGTACAAAGATTAATATTCTGATTGAAAGTTAGTTCTGATACAACACTGAACATCTTAAGATAACCTCTAAAGAGTCATATTCTATTTATCAGACTCTGAAGAATAAGCCTCTGATCAAGTTAGCTTCTAATGATCAGAACCTAAAGATCCCAGACTCTGGTTAGGTCAGCATATGAAGATCAAGTTAGCCTTTACTGACTTAAAGTATGAAGAATCAGAAGATAAGACTATGACTATGAAGGATTGGAACCTGAAGCCTATCAAAACTCAAGAACCAAGGAATGTCTAACAAGTCGTTATCAGACTCTGAGGTCAATTTGTCTTCTTCTTGTCAAGTGGAGACTTTACAAGATCTTCTTGTCAAGCTCAAGAACCAAGGAATACCTAACAAGTAGCTAACAAGCCTGGAGAATTTTAACTGATAATTCCTTTTGTAACAAAAGAGTTTCAAATGGAATTGCAACGGTAATAACCGTATCAGGAAGCTTTGCAATAGATACGTTGATGCTTATCTTTAAAACTCTCTTGTGCTAGAAGATATCTCCAACTACTCTTTCATGGCTCTCTATATAATGAGCTCATTCATGGATCTCTATATAATGAGTTGAAGACTTGGAGAAATAAACAACAATGCACCTTGACAAAAGAGAAGTTACTCTGTCAAAACAAAGAGCACAAGTTAACTTTGAATTTCTAACCAATTGTGCATTCTTTGAAGTTCTTAAGTCTTAGAGTATTTTGTATTGTATTCTATCTACAACTCTGATTGTATATCAAGTGTAGTTTATCACATCTCTTAATTATTTGTTATAGAGTCAGAAGTCTCTTGCTTGTATGCTTGAGCATTTGGAAGTCTCTTGCTTGTGTGCTTCAGTATTGAAGTCTCTTGCATGTGTGCTTGAGCAGTTAGAAGTCTCTTGCTTGTGTGCTTGAGCATTGAAGTCTCTTACTTGTGTGTTTAGGCATTAGAAGTCTCTTGCTTGTATGCTTGAGCAATTTGTAATCAGATTTGGTTATAGAGAAAATCCATTAGAAGTGCAAGGGGACTGAACTGCTCCTGATTTATAGGAGGAATCAGATTAATTACTTTTGTATTTTCTTGCTCTCTTATTTATCTCTTATTGTCTTATTCTTCTGCTATCACCATCAGACTCTGACTCTGATTTTGTCCTTGTGATTAGAATTTGTAAGAGATTTATAAGAGATAAAGAATAATAATTTAACACAATTCAACCCCCTTCATGTGTTTTTCTTACCTTCGGTTGGCACTAGAGTAAGGTCTGTGCATCGACACTTAACAATGGTACATAGAATATCATGAGAGAAAAACAATATGGTTGAATCTGAAGTAACTGGTCCTAGAAACAATGCTGATCAAAGTACATCTGAAAATAACAAATATATTTCTAAACCTCCAACATTCAGTGGAAATTCCACTTAGTTTGAGTGATGGAAAAAATGTACACTGATATAATAGATCTTGATGATGGAATTAATTTTGTAATTGATGGAGTAAGTATGGTGGTTGATAGAAATAACCTCACACCTGCTCAAAAAAGATACATAAAAATAATCAGACTTATAGAAATCTTGGTAGATGTTCTACCTCATTGAGATTTCAACATAATCTTAGTAATAGAATATACATCGCATTTCATTGCTATATGGGTATATCCTTCGAGTCATATAAAATACAAGGTTTGTATTTTAAAATTAGAGTCTAAATTTTTTCAGAGTTTTTTAACTTACTTCGAAAAAATATAGTATTCATTAGGTCTAGCCTGTAAAACATATGAATAGTCTGGTTGCATAACTACAAATTTTGAGATATTTATTAATAGTTACGTTGTCTCGTTCAAAAACAATACAGTTAATTCTATCACTTCATTAAGTTTTATCTCTTCTTTTTTATTCTATTCTATTCAATTTTGTTCTATTTCATTATAATCGATTTTTCTTTTCTTTGTTAAATATTTATATATTAATATAATTAAATTAGTATTTATTTAGTTTATAGGTCACTTCAGAATTTTCTCATACTCTATTAATTTGTTATGTTGAATATTTTGTGTAATATTTTAACTATTTATTGTATTTAAAAACATATTATAATACTTAAAAAAATAATATAATATTTAAAAATATATTTTTGTTAAAGTATTTCACTTTATGTATTATTTATATAATAAATATTCTAAAAAAATTATTTTAGTTTTTATTTACAACATGATAAATAAATTGTCTTTTTAGGACTGGATAGCTTGTAACCCATAATAAGGCAGACTTGAGTAACATATTTTCAGTTATTTTCTGGTCTCGGCTAAAATCTAATATATGATTGTCTAGCTCATTGAGGGACCCCTAGAACCTAAGCCAAGGATCGCCAGATCCATCTAATGGATTCTGTGAAGTCCTCCGAAAATATACACTCAAGGATGATTTAGAGGAACCAAGGACCATGGAAAATCTCATCCTAGTATCATATAGAAGTGAGACGAATAAATGTTCTAAGGACCCCAAGATTAGGAAATCAAGGTATACTGATCTCGTCTCTAGAGTAGTTCTCAACAAAGAAAGTTTTAGCATTGTGGAATTTAAGATGAACTTGTCCTAAAAGGACACTTGATCAAAGCAGTCACAAAGTGTGATGTTAGTAGAACAAAAGTAAGTATTTGTTTGTATCTTTTCAACATGGATTTGTGTGATAAACAAAAATTGTTCACTAATTCTCATGATTTTAAGCAAGGTTTTAGAAAATTTTGCTTGTTTGTCAACTAGATTAAAGTAACAAGGAATGAAAATAAGATTTAACACGTGAAATTGAGATTTCTAAGGTTAGATTTCTTTAACATATCCTTATTCATTTTCTTGATCAATTATATATATTCTTAGCCATCAGTTAATATTATCACATATTGTTATGTGCATGTTATTTATGTCTAAACAATAACGTGAAATCAATTATATTGCTTAACACATAATTTCACAATCGATTAACCAATATGATACCATTAAGATTTGATTATATGTAAATGTTAAACCTAAACCCATGTCTAGAGTTTAGCATCTAACAAATGAAAATCTTTGATCTAGTTAAGAAAAGTATTTTTCAGTGTTAGTTCAAAACCATTATAACAAATTATAAATAGTTAATACATAAGTATTAAGAATGAAAATAATCATCAACATTAACAAAATATGAGAACATATATAACACCATGATCAAGATGAATACATGAGTGTTTAGATAACTACATCTAACCCCGATAAAAACTAATTTAGCTAATCTTACTCATGGTAGCTTTACAATAATAATTAGGAAGGAATAAATGAAAAAGCATTCACTATGATTTCTCGGTTGGGAAAATCCTCCATCTTCAATTCTTTAATATTTCCCTTGGGAAGTTTCCTAAAAATTCTCTCTTGTGTTGGACATATGACTCCTAAAAATTCTCTCTTGAATTGCAGATTTCAAAAAAACTTTAGTTTGAAAAACCTTTGTAATTATTTTCAGAGTTTAAAAACATTTCAAAACATTTTTAGAAATTAATTATGGAAATTTAAATTGTGGAACATAACAATTAAGGGAAAGAGAAAAGACACAAGGAATTTATATAAGTTCAGTCAAGAAGACTTAGTCATGTTCCCAAGATTTAATCTTGAGAGTATTTAATAAATATTAAGAGATTTTAGTAGGCTTAACTCTCAAACCCCCTTATACAAGGAAAAAAGTTTCAAGTTAACTTCCAACCAAACAACAAACAATTGAGGGAAGAGGTTAATCTTCTTTCCAAACATGGACTCACGGAGAGAAGCGGTTAGTCCTCCTCATACACAGGAACTTGAAGCGGTTAGTCTCCAAGGTAAACCAAGATTTTTAATAGGCTTATTTCAAACTATAGTGAGCTTTTGAACCAGACTAAACTCACAACCCGAACCAAGGTTTTGACCAGGATGACCACGAGCCACTGAGAATTTTAAACCAAGATTATCTTGAACCAAAGCAAGGTTTTGACCGAGTTAAGCTTACGAACCGAACTGAGGTTTTTACCATGATAACCGTTAACCAAGTTAAAATTTTGAAATGGGATGATCTTGAACCAAGATAAGCTTTTAACCAGGCTTAGCTTACAAACCGAAACAACCACGTAGAACCTAAGTCCCCATAACAAAAAATTTTAAAGTGTTTAGTTTTGAACTCGAAAAAACACTCCCTTGTGGATAAATTATTCAACCAAGAGAAAATACTCCTTGGTGAGTTTACAACATTTCATTTTTTATAATTAAAAAGTACCTTACTAAACAAAAGAATTTTCCCAGAGCGCTACGGTTAAATTAAAATGAGACAAAGTTGAAAATATTTTAGAGAGAGTGAGGTGTGAGATTAAAACCTCACGATTCTGGATGTGAAATTATAAAGGGAAGAACCTCTATTTATAGGATAGAGGTTGGCACAATTTTTTTTCTTGGGTAGAATTTAATGTGTCAATCAATTAGAAGACCTAAAAATAAAGGTATAGGTGGTTAAAAATGAAGGAAGTGATATGGAGTTGTTATCGTTTATTAAGACAATGTACCTAACGTGTAAGGATTATTTTTGTACTAACCCAATCGATTGGGTATAAGTGCCAATCGATTGGTCAGTACAAATTTTACTCAAAATTATTTTGAAAGTTTCTGATTCAACTGGCACGTTTCCAAAACATTTTTAGTAATATTTTCATAAGAAAAAAAGCCTTAAAACATGTTTATGTGTGTGTAATTTATTCGTATAAGTTTATGAAAATACCCTTGTATTTTTACAAAACCTGATTCACTTAGACGCGACATGACAAGCTTTCACACTTCCGCTTTTTTACCCTTTAGAGATTTAAAACATGTCAAATAAACCAATCATATACACACTTACAACCATATTTTCATCTTCCGCGTGATGAGATATTTGTCACACTAGATGGTGTGTCATCTCTACTACATCTTCCGATCAGGGGAACATTATTAGACCACACTAGAATGACCACAGTTGAAGCGCTGTAAATGATGGCGGTCGAGATGATCTAGAGAATTCCCTAAAGGAGCTAGAAGAAACAAGAGGGTTTCATGCTAAATTTGCATTTTTGGAAAACCTGTATATACACTACCTGGTTGTGATAGTGGAGGCTAATGTTATGATGCACATGTTATGCATCATAGAGCATATGCATTATTGACATACCTCGTGTATCTGATTGACACATCCATATTTATGTACGAAGGTTCTTATTACATCGATGTGGTTTACCTTAGATACTCGAGTACAATTGAGGGTGCTTATTTGGTTAGTTGTATCCAAAGTTAGCTGAAGGTTGACTTTGAATGACTAGATAAATGACGACAAGTTTCACGCTATTTACGATAATATATTTGCATCTTTATAGTTACCGTAGCATTTTCATAACACTTGTGCTATGCTATTACTAATATTTCATATGTATCATTTTCAATCATGGATCCTCCAGCACCTTCATGCATCTCTGGATGGTCATATATTGATGACTACTTTAAAGATCAGCCACGTGCTTGCACATTTATCTCACTTAGAGGAAATCAGGAGGCATGGCCCTTTAGAGTGTTTCTTAACCACATTACAATAGATGATATACTACGCCACAAACCGTATGACGATCAGCGTCAGACACGTCTCTTGAATGACATAGACTTCTACTCTTGATGGCTGGCTTGTGGGTCATGTATGATGTATCTACATCTTCTTGAGCAAGTCGTGCACGATTTAAGGTATTTGTAGATTGTTCCAAGAGACCCATCAGTGTCTGCTCCTCCCATTATAGTCTACATAGATGTATGTGTGATGTATGATAGTTTCTATAATCATCTGGTAGTAGATGAAGTAGGAAGTGTAGAAGATCCTCATCAATTGAGTAATACATTCGAATACATCCAATGGTATTTTAGAGTGTCAACATGACACCAGATGCTCACAGAGATCCACTTAGGCCAGCTCATCAAGAGATATTAAAGGAGGAGCAAGTTAAGGGAGATCGTGTTGTTGACATGGTACCTACATGTCGTTGTATATAGGTCATTGTGTGAGCGGATATAGAGAGATAAGACTTTTCATAAGGGACTTTTGAGAGGGTCATTATACATGTCATTCTATCTGAGGTACAAACGACATTACAATATATGAGAAAAAAAGGAACAAGTCAGATATACTCAGTTCTATTTGTTAGTATTTATATTATGGATTACGGATAGTATTATGGTCTGTAAATTGTCATTTGATTGTATTATGTATTGATTCTAATATATGAAATTTTAATCTTATTACATCGGTTTGTGGTTTAATTTATAACAAATTTATTATGATAGAATTGGAATGATTGGGATGGTGGTTTCTTGGTGCATTTGGAAGACAAGAAATGACATCATGTTTAATGGAGGTTTAGAAGATGCGGAGGATATAATTTTCAAAGTAAAATCTTTTTCTTGGTGGTGGTTGGCCATAAGATATAAATGTAGAACAAGTTGTAATTTTTATGAGTGGTGTAAATGCCCTCTTGATTTCTTAAAATAGATTGGTGGTATAAGTCGATTTTGGCTCCGTTTTTGTACTCGGGTTAGAGTACCCCTAGTACTCTTATTTGAATCAAGTTGCTTATAAAAAAATGATCTATTACTTAAGTTTATTTCTCTAAAATGTCAAAATTTACAATCTAAAGGGAGATTCCGAAAGTATACTTCGATAACTTTTAAATAGGTGTATTTGCGAATTAAATTATAGTAAAATAAAGGCGTGTCTCACTTACAAAAGAATGTGGTGTATATGGAATATTGAAGAGCAATTTAGGATTTTTATAGAATGAGTGTTCCCCGCTAAGGGTGGGGAAGAGCAACTGATTTTTTGTTTTAAAAAGTTCAGTTGGGTTTAATAACCCATTTGTAAAAGCCCACACTAATAAATCTGAATTGAAAGCAGACTCTGCCCCGTTTAAACCTATTGATTTTAAAGTGATGATGCCCATGCACAATGAGGAAGCAGGTTGTAATCGTAAAAATTCCTCCAGAATCAAAGATGAAGATGAGATTTGAGATTGGAGAGTTGTTTATGCCATTTGTATCATTGTTAATCCCTCTTTTATAGAATGTTTAGAAAATTAGTAAAAGTTAAGGATAACGATTATAAAACTATCTAAAAAAAGCACGATCACAAATGACAACCCAAATCAATAAAATAAAATAAAAAGTTAATATAAATTTTTAATTTTAATTTAATTTGAGATTTTGAAAGGAGTATACTATATCAATACTCAAACATTCACCGACAAACCAACCTATAGAAGTTACTGATGCACATCGTTTGTTTCTAATTAAGTTCTTTTCTAGAATTTTTTTTAAAATAACCATGTATTAAAATAATATTTCGCAAATAACCGGGTTTCGGAAAAAATTACACAAATAACCATGTTTCAGATGACTCCCCAAAGGAGGAGTCATCTGAATTGGCGCATGCACCTACAATTTTGCCATAGGCGCCATCTCACTTGACGCCTCCCTTGGCTTTTAGCCAAGTGAGATGGCGCATGCTCCTTAAAAGTGAGAGGAGGCGCCATCTCACTTGGCTCCTAGGGCAAAACTAGGGCAAAATGCGAATTTTTTTTATGAATAACCATGTATTAAAAAAAAAACGCAAATAACCGCGTTTCGGAAAAAATTACGCAAATAACCATGTTTCAGATGACTCCCCAAAGGAGGAGCCATCTGAATTGGCGCATGCACCCATTTTTTAAGGGGAGGCGCCATCTCACTTGGCGCCTATGTGCTTAGGGCATGCCCTAAGCCAAGTGAGATGGCGCCTAGGTGTTATTTTAGGGCAAAATGTGGTTTTTTTTTTGTCCGGTGCGTTGCGTGTTGGATACAGGATCAACAAAATGGACTTTTTATTTTAAAAAAAAATAATTACATCCAACTGTATTACATTAAAATAACAGATAAAAAAAACAGATAAAAAAAATGGATAAAAAAATACAAGAAAAAAAAACAGATAAATCAGTGATCCCCCGGAACCCGGTAATGACCCCCGGTTCCGCATCCCCGTCCTCATCTTTCTCGTGCTGGGTGTCGTCACATTTCCTGCTGCGACAGGGTCGATGTCCCAGCGAAGTCAATGCGGTCCGGATCCATAAAATCAGTCAGATCTCCATATCTAGAAGATCCGCTTTGGTACAGTCGGTTACCCATACCCTCAAAGTTTGGTCGTGTTGGCGGTGGGTGGGGTTCCATAGTGGGTCTGTAGCATTGATCATCTGAGTACGGTGGATAGAAAGGAAATGGATCTTGGGGTGTTTGGTATTGAGGATGTTGGGTGGTTTGGTGATATTGTGGTTGGTGGTAGGCTGGGTCGGTTTGTTCATAATCTTCCGACATTCCCATATCAGGGCTAAGGCTGGATGTTGAGG